GGTATAAGCCTGTAGTCAGGAGGCTGAAGTGAGAAGATCACTTGAGCCCAGAAGTCTGAGGTTGCAGTGACTTAACATGACACCACTGTACTCTATTCCAGGCAACAAAGCTAGACCCTGTGCCAAAGAAAAAAAAAAAAAAGAAAAATTTCTGTTTTTTAAATTCTGTCAATCAATTTCATAAATACGCTTTGGATAGAATATTATAGAAGAATTACGTAGTCGAAATTTTCTGACAACGGGACATATATGCATTCATTTGAAACTTTATTGTATAAATTTTCATTTCTTTTAAAGATTACAAAACCTGTTCTATGACAGGAATACAAGCAATATTATTCCAGGATTATTCATGGATACATCTTAAAGAGCTTAGATTACACATCAATAGTATGATTCGAAAACTTCCCAGATTAGACTCTTAAGTAAAACAATTTAAAGTGTTCAGTGATATTTGATCCTTTACAAGCATTTCATAATTATGGCAGCGGTGCCAAGCATCTGATGCGATTTAACCACCAATAAAAGGTACAATACGTGAAAACTCATGATATGGTACCTTGGGCTTCTGGCATGCCTTACTAGACAGGAACTAGTATAAAGTAAGATCATATATAACAGTAGAAAAATATTTGTGATTTTTTTCTTTTTTAAAAACTGTTTAAGTAGATACCCACCCCATTCCCACCCATGGCCAAAATGTAAAATAATTACATCCCTTAGGTGTATATGTTCCCTTTTGTTTAGGGCAACAGTTAAGATAAACTAATACATGTATATAATTTTAAGAGTTAAAAATTCATCACCCATAATCATTAAGGATGCTAAGGAATAGCAATACCTTGAAGCTTTTCTTTTAAATTAAAAAACAAAGCTTTAGATGGTAGACTACACTTACAGAAACACAAACCAAAATCCTTATCCTTATGCCCTTGCTTCGTATTTAAAAGTTCTATTTTAAATACTTGTTTTAAAAACTCAGTATACAGTTCATTCATTACTATAGTGATAATAGGAGTAAAGATGTTCACTTCCATTAGATATGAACTAATCTACTTAGAGAGGACTATTAAAGCGACTCTCTTCTCATACATGTTTACATACACTGCACTCACGGTATGTGCTCTAAAGAGGTTTTCTTGAGATCTGCACTTCTGAACTTAAATCTCTAAATTTTCCTTTCCACTAATCTCTATTCAAAATGTCATATACTTTGCTAGTTGCTCTGGGAGAAGTCATGGACATTTAAACAGCTTATCATGCAGTTCAAAGTTATATGGCAAAATAATGAGAAAAGTGCCTTAAGAGGTAGGAAGTAGGCTCTCATCCCAACCCTTGGTATGCTCTGTTTTGAACAGTTAAAAGCCTGGAATCAAAGTGGTAAATGTGAGACTGACAGTAATACCAGGCTTAAGAAAATTAAATCGACTTAGTTACTAGAATTCTTTAAGAACACTCAGTCACATTGGAACAGTTACAGGTCATATGATCACACAATACAGCAGTGTCAAAAATACAGAAAGCACACTGTAGATACAAATTCTTCTTGGCCATCCATATTTGAGTTATTATCATTCTGTAGATTCTTCATTGGAAAAAGTGGTTAAGTGTGGCTCTGCAGAAATACCACAGTCTCAAGAAAATGAATTTCATTCCTTCATTAATTGGTCTCCACCAATGGTCACTTGGGGAGACCAGCAAAATGTAAGCAACCTGGAGTTGAAAAGAGGACTGTTTTCATTAATTGACATAAAAATACTAAGTTAAGTCAACTTCTCTGTGAATTAAATAAGGCTCAAAGTATATATCCAGTTTAAAGTTAGTCACATGGAATTGGGCCTTTCAGAGGGACAGAACCCTAGGACTAGATTGGAATCTCCTGGTTTAAGCACCAAGGTCAGCTATGGAATCCATAGTATTTGTTAATCAGAGAAAATAGACTTTCTGAACCTTTACATTCCTGAGCTATCTGTCCTAATGTTCTAAGTCTCAAATGCTTAATACTACTATAACGTAGGATTTTCTCTCTCTCAAAAAAAAAAAAAAAAACAACAGTATGGCAAATTGAAAAGTTTTAGGTCATGTATGAAAGGCCAGGAAGTACAGAATATCAAAGCCATGTTGAAATGTGTATTACTGTCCTCTATGGTGATTAAGCACATCTGTACCAAGCCCCCAAATCTTGAATGATTCTTTTCCTACTCTCATCCCAGGCTGGGCCTAGCCCAGTCCTTTTACTATGAATCCCATTCTGCCTTCTCTTGAAGCCTTTGCACCCACCTACTTTCTGTTCAAATCTTTCCTAGGCTGAGGGTGCAGGGCACAGCTAACTGGATAACTAGCCCTGCCTCCCATGATGTCCACTGGCCCCAACAGCAGCTACTTTTTAAAAATGGATGGTAAATGATTGACCCAAACCTGCTCTTTGGAGCACACTGCATGTGAAATATGAAAACTCTACCACACATACACACCACTCTCCATATATTCTCAAGTGACTTTTTCCACACATCTTGACTTTGTGCCTTGTCAAAATTATTACATTTTTAGACATTTGGGGTTGTGAATAAATGCATCCATATTAAATATATTAAAGTCAAGGTTCTACTATACTTAGAACATACTATGTTATCTATAAACCAGAAGGAGCTGAAATGGTTTATTAAAAACAAAAGTAAAAAAGGACAAAAAACTTACCTTAACTTTCATCACTTGAAAGGGAAGATATAAACACATGGTAGTGTAATTTGTACTTTTCAGCGTGTGCCTGGCAATGTTAAATCCAATGTATTGTTTTGGATATTATCATTGATTATAAACTAACAGGAAGTTTGTAAAAGAGGATTGACAGTTTAGTTCCTTCTTTCACAGTGAAGAATCTTTAAAACTGGATTGATACCTCTTAGGAGAAGCCCCAGTAAGAGGCAGCACTAACTGGTAAAAGGCAGATGCCCTCAGAGGCCCAATACAATCAGGGAGGCTGGGAAGAACTGGACTTTGAGAGGTTGATCCAGCGCAATCACTACATTTAGAACACACTGTTGGCCAAGCTTGTCCATTGTATGTCAAAAACATTGAGAACATCAGGACCACAGATGAAATTATGCTCAGGAACTGCTTTCTAGGTAGGTGCCTTCAGGGTTGTGATTATAGAATTTGCTTCTCTGGCAAACTGGCAGCTTGACTAGGCAAAGAAGGCAATTTTCTTTGAAAAAAAGAAACTTGGCATTAAAGATTAGTAGAGGACTTCCCCCAAGAAACATACAGTTTTTGAACTAAGTCACTGGTCAGGTGATAATGAAGGAAAGGCAGCATGGTATGGTGTTAAGAGAAAGAAAAAAAAACTAAATGAGAAGGATTCTAGACTTTGATTTGGGTCTTAAGTTCATGCAATATGAGAAAGTTGGACCAGGTAATGTCTGAGGATTTGGATTTATGTGTTTACTTCTAGTTCCAAAGACTATGATGAACACATGTAATTATGGAATAGCATCATTGTCAAAAGTCTGAAAATACCTTTTTTCTGCTCAGAGTTACATTACATTTAAAAAGTGACAACAATTTGGGATGCTCATGCTTTGAAACAATGAATAGAGGGGGGAAAAAAGCTTTCTTTCCAGGCAATGGAAAGCAGCTTTTTATTGTTAGTATCCATATACTCAAGATCCTAGATTTTTTTTTTTTTTTAGGGACAGAGTTTCACTTTCTTGCCCTTGGTAGAGTCCCATGGCGCTACAGCTCACAGCAACCTCCAGCTCTTGGGCTTAGGTGTTTCTCTTGCCTCAGCCTCCTGAGTAGCTGGGACTACAGGTGCCTGCTACAATGCCTACTATTTTTTGTTGCAGTTTGGCTGGGACTGGGTTTGAACCCGCCACCCTCAGTATATGGAGCCAGCGCCCTACTCACTGAGCCACAGGAGCTGTCCAAGACCCTGGATTTTTTGATATTCCTTCTTTACATTTTTCATTTACAAGATAAACTTAGATTTCTGTGCAATAAACATTTTGTGTCACTTGGGCAAAAGGAATGCTATAGATTTCCCCTTTCTCTTTAATTGCATAGAGCAGAAATTAAGGAATGACATGTGGCTTTCAAGACATTAAGATAAACCACACACTCTTGGCTTTGTATTCATAGGAGAAGACTTAAAGCTTCTGGCAGGAAAAAAGATTTCTGATATAAATGGCTTAGCACATGACTAAGAAAGATCTGTTTGGGCACATTCTTGATGAGGTAAGTTAAATTATTTTTTCCTTGCTAATATTTCTTTTATATTACTATTGATGTATGCTAGGTAGCTTGGCAAAGATACAGGTAGTAATGGGCAGGGAAGTTTCTTTCATAAAATAAAATAGTGGAAGCTATCAAATTAGATGTAGATAATGAATACTACAATCTAAGCAGGACCCAGTAGCCATTATGAAAACTGCTCATTTCTGAAGTCAAAGGAAATGCTATATGGCTATAAATCATCATGAGGGACTCAGAAAACACTCAATGCTAAACATTCACTTAGCCTACCTTAGCTGTGATTTCAGATTAGAACAGATATTGTTTGATTAAGAACGTTTTATTCCCTAAGAACATTTAAATCCCAATTTCATATAGAGGCCTATGGCCCTTATTACATTCAACTTAGTGCTTAATATAGAATATCTAAACATGAAATATCCGATAGGACTTTAATTACCTGTTGCTAAATTTTCCTTCACCAATCTCTTTACCATGACTCTTAAAGACCTTTGATGTATCTTGGCAAAATCCCAAATGATATGCCAAATACTACGTATGGATGCTATATAAGATTGAAAGTATAAGGACTACTTCCTTAATTAAGGAAAAAAGAACCCTAAGGAATTGCAAAGTATATGGACTAACTTCATAAGTGTATTCTTGATTTCATGCCACACGTTATTACTTTCTTTATCCTAATAGCTCTCTAGCTAATCTGACAGAGCACCTGACTTTAAGAAACAAAGAACAAACCAGTGAAACAGACGTGGGGAAAGATATGTACATTTTGAAAGAATTACATTCAACAGCTGTTCCACAATCTGGCCATTTTTAGGGCTGTCCAACAATACTGTTAATCCAGGTGAACTATTTAACCAGATTTAATAGTCAATTGATTAATAATAGATTCCAAGTTAAACAAGGCATGTATACATTAAAGAAAGCAGTACAGAAATGTACTGTATATGAACTGTTTACAAAAACATACAAAATGTTGGATGGCACAAGGGATACAGTGCTAATATAAACGGATTATTTAAGCTAAGTGCTTAACATAAACTGTCCATCCCTATAACTAACAAAGAATATTTAAGGGACATGAAATATTTCCTATAAAAATAATGCTATATGGTGTAGAGTACTTTATTCAGTGTATTTTTAGGTGGAATTCATATGTTCATTATTTTTCTTGTTGATTCAGTGAATATATCTTCATCATGTTTCCATTTTCATTTCAATCGAAGCTCCAGGAAAATCTAACTTGCTAACAATCATTTAAAGCGAGAAGAGACGAAAGCAGGAGCAGCAGCAGGAGCAGCAGCATTATGGGTACCAGCTGGGACAGTGTGTGCTTGCAGGTGTCTGTCAGATATGTGCTACCTGTCACCAGAACTTGTGCTATCAGCTTACACCATGGTACCAAATATCTCACTGAGGTCACTTCACAGGGCTGTAGAGGTGATTTTTTTAATACCTCTCCGCTGAGCAAGAGTAGAGCGGCCAACTGGTTCCAAAACTGGTGACTGATTACGGTTTAAAGCAGAGTATGTAGCTGCCATGGCACCCTGAAAACAAGAAAAAAAGCAAAGAAAGGTAGTAACAAAAATTACAATGGATAGTCATACGTGCACAAATATGAAATGACAGGGTTCTTTTCTAGATTCAAGTGTGTGTGTGTGTGTGTGTGTATTTTATTAGGTTCACAATGAAAATCACCACCACATTGGCTAAACCCTCTGATTTAACTAAACTGGAGGCCATTGTGTGAAGTTGAAATTATGTCTGAGAGAAGCAGTCCTGATTTTTCTCAGAAATATTCAATTTTTTTCCTTACATTCTTTAATATGAAAGGTAGTAAGGCACATTCTTTCAGTTAGGAAATCCATAGCTTATCTGTCCTTATGGATAGTGAACAGCTACTTAGGTAGACTAAAATTCAAAAGAACCTCTTAAACTAGTTTTAACATTTATTATTTTATAAATATCAGTATTTATTATTTCTGATATTTTGGCATATCCTGATGTTTGCTAAGTCACCCACTGTAATAGAACTCTACATCAGAACTGGACACAGGCTAAAATGGAAAGGTGTGAGGGGCACAAAGAGGATTTCTTGGAGCTGCTTCTGGAGGAAGTACAGAAAACTGTGGCTGAGTGGGGCCACTCACACACTCACCTTTACTAGATGCGGTGCGTCCTGTCTATTTAGTTGGTATTGTGGCAATTGGTCCCAGTGGACAATCCAAGGATGTCTGAGCACAAGAGCAGCAGTCAGTCTCTGATGAGGGTCTACATGAAGCATCTTTGAGACCAGGTCCTGCCATGGGAAGAAGAATAATAAAACAAGCTTAAAACTTTCTTTTTGTTTCTTTTCCTATGGGACTTGACACTGGTGAGCATTCTTCCTTAGATTCTATGACACTTTTTCCACATGGAAGCCCTTTGGTCAACAAGACAGCTTAAACCAAACAACAACAACAACAACAACAACAACAACAACAACAACAAAAAACTCTAGTCTGTTTTCTCACTAGTAACAGTAATTTAGGTATATTATGAAATAAAGGATCAATTTACCACATTTTGTGAATCTTTAAGAACTGTGACTATTTCCTCTAATTTTCTGAGCTTCCTATATTTTTGTAGGTTTATTCTTCTTCTTATTTTTTTTTTTTTTGCAGGTTTTGGCCAGGGCTGGGTATGAACCTGCCACCACTGGCATATGGGGCTGGCACCCTACTCCTTTGAGCCACAGGTGCCACCCGGTTTATTCTTTTTTTACTTTTTTGAGACAGTCTTACTTTGTCACCCTCGGTAGAGTGCCGTAGCATCATAGCTCATAGCAACCTCCAACTCTTGGGCTCAAGCGATTCTCTTGCCTCAGCCACCCGAGGAGGTGGGACTACAGGTGCCCACCACAATGCCTGGCTATTTTTGGAGATGGGATCTCACTCTTGCTCAGGCCTGTCTTGAACCTGGAAGCTCAGGGAATCCACCTCAGACCTGGTTTCCCAGAATGCTAGGATTATAGGCATGAGCCACTGAGCCTGGCCTCTACATTTTTAAAAGTAATGTTCAGTCGTTGGTAAGACTGAAAAGCAGAACACAAATGTCCAATAATGGGAATTTAATTAGAGGGCTCTAAATGTCCCCCTAAAGGATTATAGTGTTCTTTTCATTTTTTTCCTACTTCCAAAGCAACTCATGAGCATTACTAAAAACTCAGAAAATGCAGAGAAGTGATAGCACATGAAGAACAGCCATGATTCCACTCTTATAGAGGTAATCATCGTTAATACTATCTATCTAAATTTCTCTCCTTTGCATGGAATATAGATGTATATAATTGCTACAGAGTTTTACACTCTTCAAAATGATAACACAATTATCATTTTACACTTTTAATTATTAATTATGCAGTATTTGTATATGTGTTGATGGGGCACAAATATCATTTATAAAAGTATCTACCACTTGTTTAATTTTTCACTCAACATGTTATCTATGAATATTAATTAAAGGCCAGGCATTCTGCCTTGGGTATTTAGCAGTGAACATGACAGAAATGGCCTCATGAAACTTTCAGTCAGTAGGAGACAGAAAAATAATCAGTCACAAAGCAATTAAGACATTCTTTGACAGGATGAACAAATACCACATGTAGCTAGAGGAATATAAAGAGAAACCTGACCTGAACTGGGTGGTGTGGCTTAAAAGTGACTTTTTAAAGAGGCATGAGACCTGAGAATAACAGGAGTTCGATTAGAGAAGGGAAGGGGGAAACAGGATTTTAGGTACAGTAGACAGAACAGGATACATTTGGAGGAAAGCTCTCAGATATGAGAGAAGATGTCACATTCATTGAATTGACAGGAGTGCAACATGGCTGTAGCATAAATTTATTGTTAAGGAGAATGAGGCAACAGATAAAGTGGGAGAGGTGAAAAGGGATTAGCCCAGGAAGCCCCTTGTAGGCTATATTAGCAAAAGTAGACTTATTCTAAAGGCAATAAAGCATTTATTTATTTATTTTGAGAGAGATTCACTTTGTTACCCTCAGTAGAGTACGGTGATGTCATAGCTCACAGCAATCTTAAACTTGTGGGCTCAAGCAATACTTTTGCCTCAGCCTCCCAAGTAGCTGGGACTATAGGTGCCCACCACAACAACCCAGCTACTTTTTTTAGAGATGGGGGGTCTCACTCTTGCTCAGGCTGGTCTTGAACTCCTGAGCTCAAGCAATCTACCCACTTTGGCTTCCCAGAGAGCTAGGATTACAGGCGTGAGCCACTGCGCTGGCTCACAATAAAGCATTTAAAGGAGTGATATGGTCAAGTAAAGAGATCATGCTCACTAAGTATGGAGGAAAATACATCTGTGGGGACAAGTCTGGAGATAACCTATTTGGAGTCTGGTGAAGGATGACAGTTTCAGGGAGGGGTATAAGAGATGGTGAGAAATGGATGGAATTGAGGTATTTAGGAGAAAGAACGGACAGAATATGGTGGTTGACTAGATATCGGGAATTGAGGTGATGCTGTTCCAAGTACTCTGCTATTAAGACATTCAGTTTGTTACTTTTAGTTATCATTAACAGTTAAGAACAGAAATAAGCTACTGAACAAAACTAGAAGTAAAAACCTAAAAAAATTAAGAGGCTCCCCTTTCAAACTCCGAAAGTCGGCAAAAGTGCTTTAAAAACTGCATCAAAAGTTGCAAGACTGCCCAGGGCCATGTCAAACTCTATTATAGTTTTAATCAAATCTGTGTGGTAACCAATGTACTTTTGGCCAAGTCAATTGGAACTACATCTACTGCACTCCTCTCATGGCTACTTTTCCTAAGTTTTCTCTTTAAAATGGTGGTGTTCCCTTAAACTTGTCCTTAGCACACTTACCACTCTGTTCAGATAATCTCATTCATACCCTTGACTTTAGCTACTATGGATGATAACAACTTTTAACTTTAAGCTCCACCCCAGACTTCTCTCCTAAAACCTATACCTAGATAGCCAGTTGCCTAATGGGCATATTATCTCCTAATTATATCACTTAAGTCTTTCAAATTTATAATGTCCAAATATGCATCTATTGCTGCTTCCAAAACCACTTTTGTCTTCCACAGGTCACTGAAGGACACCATCCCTCACCATTTGCCTGCGGTAGAAACAAGGACTGCATATTTGCTACCTGCTCCTCTACCATGGATGTCTAATAGACTACTAAGTCTATATTCTTCCATTTGGATTAAATTCCATTACATCTGCTCTAGTTGAGGTTCTCATCATCCATTACCTGAAATGTTACAAAATCTTACAAGTAACGTGACTAATACAGGCAGTCCCTGAGTTATAAACATCCCACTTACATCCAGTTCACACTTATGAACAGAGGCTATTATAGTAAGTCCCTGACTTAGAAATGACTTGCACTTAAGTATGGAGGCTACTACAGGTAATAGGTAAAGGTACCTATTCCAACTTACATACAAATTAAACTTAAGAACAAACCTACAGAACTTATCTAGTTCATAACCCAGGTACTGCCTGTATTACTTCAGTGAGGACTCAAGGAAACAATGTAGGTAAAAGTAATAGCACAGTCCTTGGTACATAAATGCTCAGTAAATGTCAGCTACATTCCTGTTCTTCTCAAAGCTACATTTGACATATATGGGTCACATGAATGACCTGACAACATTCACATGTGTAACTTGCTTTAAGGGACATGCCCAGATTGATAAAGCCCTCCCTTCCATTTTGTGGCTAGTCCTGGTATTACATCATGCTTGGAATAGCAAGTCTCAACTATATGTTTTAGCAAAAGTTACTAGTAATAACATGGAATTTATAAGACAGGCTGTGAGCTGGATGTAATATTTTGTACTCTATTTGTGTCTCTACCTTCACTCGTCCCTTTCTCTCTCACCAAAAAAGCATACTGGATTGCAAGGGAATGAGAACAAAATTGTAGAGATAACCTCAACTTGCTTTAATTTATTAAAAAAATAAATAATGTATAAGCTATGAAACTTTGATATTGGTAACATTACTTCGTATACCTTATAACTGATCATTACAAAGTTTATGGCAGGCTCTATGGATGAGACTCATTGCTCAACAGAGCAAAAAGGAAAATCTGATCACTGTACTGCTTATTGTTTTAACAGTTCCACAATACTCAGAGTAAGCCCACAATACTGAGCATGAGCCACAAAGCCTTTCACAATCTGGGTTCATCAGCTAGCCACTCTTTCCTGTGTACCCTGCACTAGTTACATAGAAGGATGCAACTGGAGACATTCTGCTACCCTTATGCTATCATCTTCACCTATACGCACGTGCTATTCCCTCAGCTTGGGGAGAGATGGGACTATATCCTTTTGCTCTACAAATCTGCTTGGCCCCTTCACTGCTTCTGAAAGCTGTGAGCTCCCTGAGATGAGGAACTCTGTCTGTCACATCTATCTCTAGGGTCTTCATGTATTAAGCATGTGGTAGGTGTTCAATAAGGGAATCACAAGGGAAGCTGGTACTCAGAAAAATGAATTACCTGGTTTAAGTATTGTTAGAAAAAGGTAAGAGACTAACATTTCATACACAGACATTAAACTGGTCAACTGAAGATTCATGCTCTATGCCAATACAATTGATACTCATTTTTGACGTGTTCTATTACAAGTTTCCACCTTTAAGAAAAATCAGTAAGCATTTTTACCAATATGTATCTTCTTTATCTCCTCTGTTTTTTCTTATTTTGAAGCAGAAAACTTTACTCTTTTTTTAAAAAAGAATTTTATATGAATAAAGTGAAAGTAGAGCAGAGTTGGAAAGCAAGTCAGTGCTATTGAAGGCAAGGCAGATATTCCAGTGAGAAGGGCTCTTCAAACTGATTTCAAGCAGATGCTATAAAACTACACCACTGTTCATTGTGAAAAAGACAAGATACCTGTCTCTATAACATGAATCAAAAATAGAACATGGTATAATTACTCTAGGAAACGAGGGCTCTGAAATCAGATATTTAGTTTGACACACCCATATGATACCTGATATGTTACCACGGATAAGTTCATACTAAAATTCTGGGCTTTGGTTTTTCCTTCTACTACCTCCTATTTCACAGGGTGTTATGAGGACTACATGAGCTAATTTAGGTAAAGTGCAGTGTGAGGCATATAGTAGACAGACTAATCATGAAGACTATCACCATTTTTATTCATCATGTTCATCAGTAAGAATAGCTTTAGATACAGATAAATAATAAGGCCAAACTAATGTCATCTGGTAAAGAAACAAAGTAAATGGTCTACTTTCGAGTTTAAATTATTTAGTAACATCCTTTGAACGTAATAATTTTTAAACACAAGTTTCTAAGTGATAGTATTTCTTTTCACTATGGATTCTGAAAAACTATTTTGTCAAAAGCTTGTAACTGCAAGCCATACTTACCTTTGCTGTGTCTGAAACAGAATTCCAGTAGCCACCACTCAGTGAGAATTTTCCACTACCTATTCGTGCCAAGATTTCCTCCGGTGTATCATCAGGACCATTTGCAAATGGAGTATAACTAATTTACAATAAAATTAAAATGTTAATGAACAAGATTTCTTATTTAGTTGGTAACCTTTATATTTATTCACAGTGTCCAAAATTACTCTGAGTGATTTAGTTTATGTAATGCTTTATTCAAATCTACCAAAGAGAAAAAATATAAATAAAATGAAGCTCCATGAAGTACTAGGTCAAGGTTTAGGTTATAAAATATTAGATTTAATATACAATCATATAAATATTTTAAGATATGACACATTATAAAATAAAATATTAAAAAGTAGTATATGTTTCTGACATAACAGGCATATAAAAAAAGTATAGAATCAGTTTAAGACCTCAAGACATTAATAACTGGTACATTATTAAAAAATCAGTAATGATATAAATATGAAATTAATATAGGATTGTGTATATTAGAGGAGAAAACATTGAAAGAAAGATATAACAACATATGGATTAAGAAAAATATCTAGATACTTTAAGCAAAATATTAATGAATAAAAGCTTACAACATATGGTAGACACTCACCCGGTAAGCATCGTGTAGAGGAGGACACCAAGACTCCATATATCACAAGCAGCATCATAGCCTTGTCGTTTTAAAACCTAGAAAAAATGGAAAATTAGTATTACCACACCATTCTCTTATATATATATGTTTGGATAGGCTATGAATGGAATTCTGTCTCTCAAATCAATGCCTATAAGAAAAACTTCAACAGAATATGATTAACAAATAAAGGAAATATATTAATCCTATTCTAGAATGTTCTACCACTAATTCACATGTATAAAAATTTTGGTATTCAAGTGAACATTTGAGTGTTGTTATAGGCACACAGAGGAATACAAAACAAAATCAAGTTTCTTATCCCCTCTTCCATTGCTCTGAGTTTTTTTTTTTTAATTTCAGATTAATATGAAGGTACGAATGTTTAGGTTACATTATTTCCATTTCTTTTTTTTCATTTTCTCAGTTATTGTTTTAAACGTTCACATTCTACTCTTAGAAAGATTCACTTCATTATTTCCATTTCTAATGTAAAGTTCAAGTCCTAGTTGAGACCTTATGAGTGGGCAAGAGAATTGAACAGAAACTTCTCTGAAGATGACAGATGAAGTTTCTTATTTTAATGAATTTGTATTTTGTATGGGGCTACACATAGGGTTACAAAAAAAAATTTTTAAGAGCACATGTAACCTAGTACAAATGATCTAAGTGCAAAATAGTACTTTTTTATGTATAATTTGATTCACTCAAGCATTTGACAGTAACCAACTATTATCAGGCATGAGCTATGATAGATATAAAATCCCCCTTTATTTCTCTAAAAAGAATCTGGGAGGGGAAATAAACATATACATAGTTAAAAATTCAACATGGTAAGTATTATAACAAAATCGTGTCTGAAATGCTATGGGTGTAAAGATGAGGAATCAATTTACTCTTGATGTGGGGCAGAGAGGAATGAATAGAGGCTGGCTTGGTTATACTGCACCTATTAAGTAAGAGTTTAGTAAGCAGAGGGTGGAGACGGGGAGGGCAGACAACATTCAAAGGGCAGAGGCAAGAGAGCACAGTAGGCTTAGTGACAGGCAAGCAGTTTAGTGTGGCCAGAATTTTTGGGTGCGGAATACTAGAGAGATTGAGGCTTTTTTAATTTTTTGTTAAATAATTTAGATTATTCTGTAGACAATAAGATGTGACTGAAGAATTGAACAGGAAAATAAAGGGCTGAAGATCTCTATAAAGAAAACCATGAAACTCTGAGAAAAGAAATAGCTGAAGATGTTAACAAATGGAAAAATATACCATGCTAATGGCTAGGAAGAATCAACATTGTTAAAATGTCCATACTGCCCAAAGCAATCTACAGCTTTAATGCAATCCCTACTAAAGCACCATTGTCATACTTTAAAGGGTTTGAAAAAAATCGTGCTTCATTTTGTATGGAATCAGAAAAACCTCGAATAGCAAATACATTACTCAGAAATAAAAACAAATCAGGAGGTATCACGTTACCAGACTTCAGGCTATACTATAAATCTATAGTGTTCAAAACAGCATGGTACTAGCACAAAAACAGAGAGGTAGATTTATGGAACAGAATAGAGAACCAAGAGATGAACCCAGATACTTATCATCATTTGATCTTTGACAAGCCTATCAAAAATATTCAGGGTGGGAAAGACTGCCTATTTAACAAATGGTGCTGAACTGGTGGCAACCTGTAGAAGACTGAAACTGGACCCCCATCTCTCATCATTAACAAAAAGTGAATCTCACTGGATAGAAGATTTAAACTTAAGACAGAAAACTATAAAAATACTAGAAGAGAGTGCAGGGAAAACACTTGAAAAAATTGGCCTGAGAGAATATTTTATGATGAGGACCTCCTGGGCAATTGAAGCAACACCAAAAATACATTACTGGGATCTGATCAAACTAAAAAGTTTTGTACAGCCAAAAGCACAGTAAGTAAAGCAAACAGAAAACCTTCAGAAGGGGAGAAGATTTTTGCAGATTATGCTTCTGACAAAGGTCTGATAACTAGAATCCATGGAGAATACTATGCAGCCATAAAAAATATGGATACTTCGCATCTTTTATGTTTACCTGGATGGAGCTGGAACATATTCTTTTCAGTAAAGTATCTCAAGAATGGGGAAAAAAAGTATTCAATGTACTTAATACTACTATGAAATCAATATATAATCATCTACACATTCATACAAATGGTAAAACATAATTATAGTCTAGAAAGCAGGAGGGAAGGTATGGGGGGGGACCTCACCTAATGTGCATAACGCAACAGTACATTTCAAAACTATTAAGAAAAGAGTGTAACTGTCTTACCACAACAAGTGAGGTGATGGATGTGTTAATCAGTTTGATGTAAGCATTTCACGTTGTGTATCAAATCAGTACACTGAACCCCATAAATGCATCAATGTACACAGTTATGATTTAATAAAAACAAAAAAATGCCATATGAAAGGAAAGATGATAAATATTAGATTTCTATAGAATTTCATAAAAAAAAAGAAAGGGCTGGCACGTTATCCTAATATTTGATCAATAAGTCTTCAATTAAATAATTATTAACTATTTTATATTAAACATGGCAAATGAGTTTTTTTAAAATTTATTTAACTTGTATATAATAATTTATTAAGCACATATAGAATGACAGACACTAGGCTTAGCACTACATATACCGTTGTACTTAATTCACACAACAACCTTTTGAGATCAGTTACTGTCCCATTTTACAGATGGTGAAACTGAAGCATGTAGTGATTAACTTTCTGAGGTCACTTTGATAATAAACAGCAAAAGAAGGTTTCCACCGTAGGTAGGAAACCCAAGTCCATGCTTTTACCACTATGTCAGCAGTCCTCAAACTTGAGTGACATCAAAATCATCTAGAGGGCTTGTGAAAACTCATATTTCTCAGCCCCACTCTAGAGGTCCTAATGAAATAGATAGAGGGAGTGGGGTCCAAGATTTGGCATTTCTAACAAATTTCCAGGCTGCTGGTCTGGGGACTCCTGTGTCACATAGTGAAACTAATGTGTACCTCACTATATAGGCTCCTTCGAAGGTCCAGGAGGTATTCTAAACACATGCTTCATAAGATCACACAAAATAGCAAATGAGTTTTTAAACATATTGAAATACTGCAAGTAATAAACTCTCACAATTACCTCTGGTGCAACAAAATTTGCAGTATAACAAGGAGTCATGAGAAGACCATTTTCTGCTCTCAGCTGTTTTGCAAATCCAAAATCACAAATTCGAATAGATTCTGGATTACCAGATTCATCCACATAAAGAATGTTGCTAGGTTTCAAGTCTCTGTGAACCACCTAATTGAAATACAAATTAAAGAGTTATGTTAACAATACATTTCCATTACTGAAAGTTCTTTTTTTTTTTTTTTTTTTGAGACAGAGCCTCAAGCTGTCCCCCTGGGTAGAATGCCATGGCATCACAGCTCACAGCAACCTCCAACTCCTGGGCTCAAACGAGTCTCTTGCCTCAGCCTCCCAAGTAGCTGGCACCACAGGCACCCACCACAATGCCTGGCTATTTTTTTGGTTGCAGCTATCGTTGTTTGGCAGGCCTAGGCTGGATTCGAACCCACCACCTTAGGTGTATGTGGCTGGCGCCGAACCGAAAGTTCTTTATTCACAAATTGTCAATCACTTAACACAAAGATTGAGTGCTGACCCTAAGTTATCCCTACATTATAAAATGCTGATAATGTATAGCATAATTCTCTAACACAGACCTGGGGCAAGGAGAAGGAGAAATAAAGAATAGTACTCACCCCCTTACCTTGGTCCAATTGAGTAATAGGTTTAAGGAGAAATGCAAATAATCACATCTCACTCCAGGTTATCTACTCATCTAACAATATTTATTGAGTGCCCATCATGTGCCAGGGCATTATATAAGTGGAAGACACTATCATGAACAAGACGCGTAAGATCCTGGCCTTCCCATGGTAGGAGCTTGCACAGTAGTAGGAGAGGCAGAGATTAGATAGGTTGAGAGATGAGGGATAACCAGAGAGGTCAATTTAAATAGGGTGGTCAAGGAGGGCTCTAGAGGAGGTTACATCTGATCTGAGAGGGAAGATCAGAATTCAAGAAGCCATGAGAACAGTGGGGGAAAGTCATTCTAAGTAGAGAAAAAGCATATACAAGGCACACAACAACAAATATGAGTTGACAGAACCGAACAGACACGGCATTTAGGAGTAAAAAGGAAAAAAACCCAGGCTTTAAGTATTGCCTATTTGATATATAAGTGAAGATGTCACAAATGCAAAAAGGTATCTTTTAGAAAGTTTTATATTTTCTTCCCTTAATGAACTACCCAAATACAGAAGATCCCCAGTGTATGCCTGAACTCTGTATTTCTCCTTAAACCTATTACTCAATTGGACCAAGGTAGGGGGAGAGTACTATTCTTTATTTCTCCTCCTTGTCCCAGGTCTATGTTAGAGAATTATGCTATACATTATCAGCATTTTATAATGTAGGGATAGTAGGGATAACTTAGGGTCAGCACTCAATCTTTGTGTTAAGTGACTGACGGTTTTGTGAATAATACTGTAAATAGGATAGTACCAGATTCTATTTGTACTGTGTTTTTTTTCCTATACATACATAGATTTTTTTTTTTTTTTTTGAGACAGAGCCTCAAGCTGTCACCCTGGGTAGAGTGCTATGGCATCACAGCTCACAGCAACCTTCAACTCCTGGGCTCAAGAGATTCTCTTGCCTCACCTCCCACGTAGCTGGGACTATAGGCGCCTGCCAGAAGGCTCAGTTATTTTATTTTATTTTATTTTTTTTGGTTGCAGCCGTCATTGTTGTTTGGCTGGCCTGGGCTGGGACTCGAACCCACCAGCTCAGGTGTATGTGGCTGGCATCTTACCTGCCCGAGCCACAAGTGTCGAGCCCATACATAGTTTTTAATTTATAAATTAGGTACAGTAAGAGATGAACAACAATGACTAATAGTAAATTACAACAATTATAACAATATACTATAATAAAAGTTGTGTGAGGGCTTTTCCTCTCAAAATATTTTCAGACCATAGTTGACTGTGGGTAACTGAAACTGCAGAAAGTGAAATTGCAGATAAGTGGGGACTATTATACTTCTTTTATCATAAGCTTCTCTGACATTCCTTTTTAGGTTTAAGTGTTTCTTCTATTAACCAAATACTCAATCTATATTGCAATGAATCAAGTTATAGTTCCTAACATTCAGAACTTCTCCTAATATAGTTTCCTGGACTGTTTTAAGTACTAATTACTGATGGTAAAGTACTGGGAAAAGAATATGGAAGACGACTGCATAAATTCTTCAGTGAATACTGAGTCCTACTAATTTCAAGGTACAATCTTTTGTATATATATCAAAACATCATGTTGCATACTATAATATATCTAATTTTCATTTATCTACTTAAAGAATTAAAAAAACTCCTCTGCTGTTCTTTCTTTGCTCCCTCTCATTTTCTACATTCCTTGCTTTCACTCCAAGACTTCCCTTCTTTTAAAAATATTATTATTTTGCTGTTTACTAAAAATCTATATGCAGGAAGAAATGAAGAGAATATCTACCAGCCAGAATCCAGGTGACTATTTGGCTTCATCTGTTTTAAGGAGTTCCTTTTAAATGTGAATAAAGAATTCCCTGATTCTGCTTCTAAAGGGTACAGGGTGACCCAGCAGAAATTATGCTATATTTTCTAGGTCAGAATATCTCATATATTTTTTCTTGGAAAGCTTGAGTATAGAATTTCAAGATAGCACTTCAAGCTCAATGGAAGAAGTTACGTAGAGGAGGACCAGTAGGATAATCAAGCTAACAGTAGTTACTCTCCATTACATGCAAAAAGGTACCTCTAATTTCGTAATTTTAGCTTAAACATTGAAAAGAAAAAGAAAACAGGTGTGCATATACACAGATATTAAAAATTAAAATGACTTACCCCTTGTGCATGAAGATATTCAACAGTTTTGGTTATAGTGAACAGGACAGCACTGGCCTCTCGTTCAGAGAAAAATTTCTGTCTCAAAATTTTATCCAGCAATTCACCCCCTTTCATAAGTTCTGTTACTACATACACGTATTTTCCATCATCATATACCTATAAAATTCAACATCAAAATTCAAAAAATTATTTAAAGCTTTACATGTGCCAAAACAAAGCTCAGTATATTAAAAAGAAAATATATTTTATTTTCATGAAAAATTTTACATGTCACAACCAAAGGAGGATATAAAATTTTTAATTTTATGCATGCAAGAATATTTAAATAGGAATTGATGAGACTGAATATCAGAAAAATATCCAGTAATTTATTTTCCGTGAAACTTAATTCAGAGCAATCAAAGTCACTGCATATGAAGAGGCACTTAACTTTTTCTCTTAGGATTCATTCCTCATTTTTATTTTTAATCTATTGATGAAGGCAAGGACTAGTACAAAGGTATGCTCCTGTGATTTTTCCAGGAATTTCTACAATGGCTGAACTTCTGTTCTTTTTATAAACACAAAATGAATGAATTATTCTGGTTTTGATTAAATTGAAATATAAGTAGCAGCCAACAGTTAAATAGGAAGATTAAAGAGCAAAGAGAAATCCTATCAAACACATGGAAGCATACCAATGAACTCCTAATAGAGAAATAGAAGCTCACTGGGATTTCGGATTTGTATTCTTGGCAATCTCTAACTGAAATAAAATCTATTGAACTTCAGTCCTTTTTATTTTCCCCTCATCATAGAGTTACTGAAAATCTTTATTTAGCTCCGTAAGAGGTAGCAAGTACTATACAGGTATGTGCTGGGCCTCCAAATATGGAGAAAACAAAATACCTATCCTCAATTTTTTATTACAGTAAGGAGAAACCCATATAAATAAGAGTAAAGTAGTGCTGGGGATGCTATAATAAAAGTCAGGAAAATTCTAGAAATTTTGGAATTTGAAGTGAAGGAAGGGATAAAGATGTAAAAAAAAAAAAAAAAAATGACAGCTTAGGGAGTTTCCAAGGCAAAGATGGGTCAGAGAAAGTATTTTCTAGGCTCCGCGCACTTAGCCAGTGAGTAGGGCGCTGGCCACATACACCAAGGCTGGTGGGTTCGAGCCCAGCCCAGGCCTGCTAAACAATAATCACAACCATAACCAAAAAATAACTGGGTGTTGGGGCGGTGCCTGTGGCTCAAAGGAGTAGGGCACCGGCCCCATATACTGGAGGTGGCAGGTTCAAACCCGGCCCCAACCAAAAACTGCAAAAAAAAAAAAAAAAGCTGGGCATTGTGGTGGACATCTGTAATCCAGCTACATGGGAGGCTGAGGCAAGAGAATCACTTAAGCCCAAGACTTTGAGGTTGTTGTGATGCCACAGCACTCTACTGAGGGTGACATAAAGTACTCTACATTTCCTCTTAAATTTTCTTGATTGGATTCTTATTTATATTAAGGAGTCACTTAAATCATTTCACATTTTATTTATATATATTTTTTGAGACAGAGCCTCAAGCTATTTCCTTGGTATCACAGCTCACAGCAACCTCCAACTCCTGGGCTCAAGTGATTCTCTTGCCTCAGCTTCCTGAGTAGCTGGGATTACAGGTGCCTGCCACAATGCCCGGCTACTTTTTGGTTGTAGTTGTCATTGTTTGGCAGGCCAGGGCCGGATTCAAACACACCAGCTCTGGTGTATGTTGCTGGCACCTTAGCCACTTGAGCTACAGGCACTAAGCAGTATTTTTTTTTTTTTGAGACAGAGTCAGTGTGATGTGGTGTCACAGCTCACAGCAACTTCAAACTCTTGGGCTTAAGTGATTCTCTTCCCTCAGTCTCCCAAGAAGCTGGGACTACAGGCATTTGCCACAATGCCTGGCTATTTTTTGGTTGTTGCTGTAGTTGTCATTGTTGTTTGGCAGGCCCAGCCGGGATTGAACCTGCCAACCCCAGTGAATGTGACTGGTGCCCTAACCGCTGAGCTACAGGTGCTGAGCCCATTTCACATTTTGATGCGACTAAGTTAACATTCTCCATCTAATGATGAGCAGTGATAAATTAATCTGAGGAAACTAGAGTTCGGACAACACCTAGATATGGCCTTTGAGCTTATATGAACACCATCAGCAAGAGATGATTTAACAAACAGCAACTGGGGAGTTCATACCCTTTGTGAATACCCTGCTATAATAAAAATCTTGAGAGACACAGGTAGCAGGGTATCATGACAGCTCAGGGAAAAGATACCTTACTTATCCTGGATGTGGTGATGGGCAGGGCAGGATTAGCTTCTTGGAAAAAGTGCTGTAGCAAAATCTTAAATGTGTGGTAGTCAGGCAAAGAAGAAGGGAAATGTTGTTGACAACCAAAGGAACCACAATTTAAAGAGCAGCATTAGAAAATGAGGCATGTTCAAAAATTGTGCATATCAGGGAATGGAGCATAAGGTATGTGAGGAAGTATGTGTGAAGAAGTAAGTAAATGACTACGGAGCAAGGCAGGGGCTTAAGGAGCTGGGTAGTATGAACTCTAAGAGGAAAGAGAGTTATATGGAGAAATGGGCATTAGATCTGGTAGTAATAAGGAAGACAGTTTGGGGAGTCAGTGGAGAGTGAGATTAGTCAATCCTGAATATTAATTAAAAGTAATATTAATATTAAACATTTGAGTAAATGTTCAGGTAAATGCAGATACCAAAAGTAATAATGTCAAAAATACTTTTCTTCTTAAAGCAGTAGAAAAATTAATACAAACTTTTTCTTTTCTTTTTTTTCTTTTTCTTTCTTTTTTTTTTTTTTGAGACAGAGCCTTAAGCTGTTCCCCTGGGTAGAGTGCTGTGGCATAGCTCACAGCAACCTCCAACTCCTGGGCTCAAGCGAGTCTCCTGCCTCAGCCTCCTGAGTAGCTGGGACCACAGGCGCCTGCCACAATGCCTGGCTATTTTTTTTCAGTTGCAGCCATCATTGTTGTTTGGCGGGCCCGGGCTGGATTTGAACCTACCACCTTAGGTATATGTGGCTGGCGCCTTAGCCACTTGAGCCACAGGCGCCGAGCCAAACATTTTTCTTGATAAATGGAATTATGCTATATACACTGCCCTCAAATATACCTTTCTTTTGTTTTTTGGGGGGGAGACAGAGTCTCATTATGTCACTTTCGGTAGAGTGCTGTGGCAACACAACTCAGAGCAACCTCCAACTCCTGGGCTTAGGTGATTTTCCTGCCTCAGTCTCCCAAGCAGCTGGGGCTACAGGCACCCACCACAACACCTGGCCATTCTTCGTTTAAGTTTGGCCAAGGCCAGGCTTGAACCTGCCACCCTTGGTACGTGGGGCTGGCGCCCTACCTACTAAGGCACAGGTGCTGCCCTCAAATACACCTTTCAAACTTACTATATTGTCTACCATATGTGTGTGTATATATATATATATATTTTTTTTTTTTTTTTTTAAAGACAGAGCCTCAAGCTGTCACCCTAGGTAGAGTGTTGTGACATTGCAGCTCACAGCAACCTCCAACTCCTGGGCTCTAGCGATTCTCCTGCCTCTGCCTCCCAAGTAGCTGGGACTACAGGAGCCTGCCACAACACCCGGCTATTTTTGGTTGCAGCCGTCTTTGTTGTTTGGCGGGCCCGGGCTGGATTCGAACCCGCCAGCTCAGGTGTATGTGGCTGGCACTTTAGCTGCTTGAGCTGCAGGCGCCAAGCCTACCATATATTTGAAAATATAGTATTCCAAACGTAAGTTAGACAACTGATTCAAATGATCCATGTTAAAGAATCTACTTACATCCTTTAGAGTAATAATGTTTGGATGCTGTCCATAACGAAGAAGAATTTCAATTTCTTCTGTTGGGTCTCTCTTGCTTTTATCAATAATCTAAAAGGCAGACATGTATCATAAAATCTCATGAACTACAGAGTTATAAACCTTATTTACAGCTACCGATTTTAGGTATTACCTTATGTAAATATACACAAGCCAGTTATCAATCAGTTTTATTCCAACTACCTGGCCAGACTATTTAATCAGAGAGCCAGTTTTGATACAGATCTCAAAGCTCTAACTTTTAATCCATGAGTCACAGTCCCATCAGGTCTCTCTAATGTAAGGCTGTAGTTAAGTTAAGGACTTACTAAAAACTGAAAAGTGTCAAGAAAAGACATCAAGAACCCAGTTAACATATCTTTTTCCCCATCACTCAGTGTCTTATATTTGGAAACTGAGTCAACTTCTAACCCTTTTCAATAGAGATAATTAAGAGCTAGATGTATCCATAACACCACCACTAGCATCTGACTTCCTTTAATAAAACGCTTCAATGGAGTATCCCCTTAGTTGCAAGCTACTTATAAGAATTAATTACCAGTTAAGTAGAACATGCTTATTTTTGAAGCTAGGCAGAAAACTACACCAAAAACCACACCAAGAATTTTACTTGGCTAGAATTAAGTTTAATTATTATAATAAGGCCCCTTAAAATACTAATGTAGCTTTCTAACACTTTTATGTCAATTGCTTTGTGAAAATATGTCCCTTAAATGTTTTAATCTATTAAAGTAATAGTATTTAAAAAGACAACTTCTTTTAATTCCTTCAAAAGGTGGTCTGGAACAAATTTGGTGGCTTTTATATATCCAATTTTAAAACAACTGAAGCAATTAATGTCTTGCAATAAATACTCAAACACTCTAGCAACCTAGGAAAGAGGTTATAGCTCAGTATGAGCTCAGTCTTCTTCTTCTTTTTTTTTTTTTTGAGACAGAGCCTCAAGCTGTCCCCCTGGGTAGAGTGCTGTGGCTTCACTGCTCACAGCAACCTCCAACTCCTGGGCTCAAGCAAGTCTCCTGCCTCAGCCTCCCAAGTAACTGGGACCACAGGCACCCGCCACAATGCCTGGCTATTTTTTGGTTGCAGCCATTATTGTTGTTTGGCGGGCCCGGGCTGGATTTGAACCCACCACCTTAGGTGTATGTGGCTGGCGCCTTAGCCACTTGAGCCACAGGCGCCGAGCTGAGCTCAGTCTTCTGAAGTAGATTTATAGTTGATCCTTGAATGACATAGGTTTGAACTACACAAGTCCACTTCTGCCATCTGGGAGAAAACAAGACTGATCCCTCCTCTTCCTGCTCCTCCATTGCCTGCTCAATGGGAAGATGAGGATGAAGACCTTTATGATGATTCACTTCCACTTAATGAACAGTAAATATATTTTCCCTTATGATTTTCTTAATAACATTTTTTTTCTGTAGCTTACTTCATTGTAAGAATATAGTATTAATACATAAAACAGAAAGTGTGTTAACTGATTATATATATTAACAGTAAAGTTTCTGGTCAACAATAGGTTATTAGTTATTAATATTGGGGGGAAACAAAAGTTATCTATGCATTTTCAACTGTGTGAGGGTCAGTGCCCCTAACCTCTGTGTTGATCAATGGTTGACCCTAGATGTAAAGCAGTTCTGTGTTTGGAGAACAGGGAAGACAAACATAGGTGCTCACTGTAATCAACTGCAAATGATAGTGTGGAATTAGGCAAATGGGTAATTTAGAGCAGAGGTATATGGAATAGACATACCAATTCAAGAGATGATATCTGGGGCTAGAGACTTCTGAAAACCAGAACACACTAGGAGGTGTTACTTTTGACAACATTGGTCTGTTAATACGAGCTCAGCTTATATTGTATTAGTACTTGTACTTGTGAACCTCAAATAGGTAGTAATTTCTGTAGAATCCAACTGTGTTCAGATTGGTTTTATGATTCTAATTTAAGTCACAAGAATCAACAAATAGCTTAGACATATTTTCAAGGCTTTGGGTATACTACTCCTGGTTCCTGTAATTCAAAGGGGGCCTCAAAACATTTCTGCTTTTCCTGATGTTTAGGGAGGCAAGATACATCCTTAAACTGTCTAGTATTTACACTATTCCTTTTCTCTCCTTTCATGAGAGAAATAGCAATACATACATAGCATACCTACCGTGTTTCCCCCAAAATAAGACCTACTCCAAAAATAAGCCCTAGCAGTATTTCTATGCATTTGTTATATATAAGCCCCACCCCAATAATAATACCTAGTGATGGGCGTAGATACACTGCATAGCCTCGCCTACATTTTGGTGCGGAGCCATAAGGAAGACTGGCATACCTTTTATTTGCCACAGCTCCTTTCTCCGAGCCATTCGCACTTGCGCAGGTGCACGTGTGGTAACTATGGTCACAGGCATCCTATTGCACAGGTGGGAACAGCTAGGGGAAAGGAGTTCACACATCACTAGCGCCAGCCCCACCAACAAGGTCGGCTCCCCCTGTCAGGTTCCAGAAGATGATGACTTAATTGTATTTGAATAAATGTAGATTTTTGTATTATACTTAATAAAAATAAGATATCCTCTGAATATAAGCCCTAGTGTGTCTTCTTGAGAAAAAAATAAATATAAGACAGTGTCGTATTTTCGGGGAAACACGGTAGCAATTTGAAAATTTCTATGTATCCCAGACTTCAATAAGAGCAATGAATAGAAGAATAGCAAATGAAATATATTTCCATGATTCATCCTTACATTTGACAGAAAAAGCCTTACAGACAAAGCCTGATGACTTTTTAAAGCAATTATATCCAAGTATAGAATAGTGATAATAATTAATGTCAATCTCTCATTAACTAAACATGATTTGCCCATATTTATAAATTACTTTTAAGGTTCAAGAGAAATTGAACCTTAAATTCTGCCTTAGAATATCTGATGAAATTATCTAATAGTAATACATTTTATACTAGTGGTTTTTGTTTTATTTATTCCCAGATCCTTTTAGATGTGAAGCTATAAAGAAAGGGATGAACATTTTTGTCAGAAAAAAGATAAACATGCAAATATTGCCACACAATACTGAGGAATTCTCTGACACCCTGATCATAAAATGGGGATTTCTGAGATTAAAAGAGATGCTTTAAAAATCATGTGAGGTGCAAACTGGGACTGTTCTAAACAAACTGGATGTATAATAATCACCTTACCTTTTAATCCAGAGGGAAATCCATAGTTCCAGATTAAGATCTCTGAAGATCATGAGCCAGATATTTAAACTTACCTTAACTTTTATAACAAAAGGCACTCTTACCAAAAAGAAGAATGTAATTTTTATCTGGTACTGCCATGTATGAATTAAGAAGTATTCAAGGTAATTTAAAATTTAAAACTATTTACCTTCACTGCGAACTCCATGTTTGTGGCTTTATGTATACATCTCTTGCAAACAGAATAGGAACCAACTCCAATATCTTCTTTTACTTCATATCCATCAGTAAACTGAATACTGTTCCTGTGCAACTGCTACAAACAAAATTATCAACTGAAAAAGAGTTCTGTAACGCTTTTAGTGCATTTCATAATATGGGACTATGATACGTAGCATGTATGATTGATAGTAATAACTATAACTATAAATGAATGTAAGTAAGCATAAAATGAATATAGCACCTATTCTTCTATGAGTACATTTCATATTTAAAAGTGTTTACTATAAAATGTACAATAAGAAATATGCCTTTCAAAAAAGCTTATCTTAAAAAGAAAAACTGAATATGTACAGAAAATAGCAGAGCTACTTGATAAAGAACCCATAACTTTGTGATTTAGCCCCATTCCACTCCCCAAATGGCTAAAGGTTTTTGTAACACCTTTACAAATGAGGGAAAATTCGAAAACTCTGGTATAGAAGGAAAAGGTTTAGGAAGATTTAGAATTAGAACATCTGGATTCTTATCTCAGATGCACTCCTTACTACTTATAAACCATGTAATGCTGAGCTTGTGTTGTCTCAGAGAGTAATGGTGAGGATTAAATAAAAACAATGTACACTTTGCAAGCAATATCTGTTTTCATCCTGGACTTTCATTAGCCATTCCCCTTCTTTCTTCACCCTCAAGTCGTAGCTTTACACAACTTCTGCTAAAGAAGCTATTCATGGGTTAGGGACTAAGAACATATGGTAGATGATGAACAGCAAATTACCGGTTCTATAAATAGGCTGAGGTAAGCTGTGCTGCCCTTGGCCATAATAATATGGGACTTCCATGACTATGAGCTTTGTATAGTTTAAAACGTGAATTCTCTAGAACATCAAGTTTGTGGTTTTTATGTTAAGTATAGAATTTATAATTAAAAAACTTGCCAGATATCCATGTACTTGCACAGTAAAAGGACAGTCTTTTTCAACATGAACCTTGTTTTAAAAAATCAGAGTCTTAACTAATTAATTTTCTAGAAACATTCATGAAAAAAAATTTTAGAGCAAAAGCAACTTAATCATCAACCAAATTCAAGCACTAATGCTACCCTAAAATAATTCAATGCTTCAAAAGATATATCTAGTTTCCTCCATAATTATAAACAGGAATTAAATTTATCTTTCTATAATATCAGTGTAAGAAGAAAGAAATCTAATGGTTTCTACTACTTGTGTTCTTATAACAATATTCACTAGTCCAGTCTCCTGTTACAAACACATACCCATAGTCCTACAGAATCTTGCTTCTTCTATGGCCTTTACCTAGTTTTTCTACAATTCTGATGAACAGATGGGATAAGGCGGTAGGGGGCACCCTAAGGCAGTACCCATAACCATTTCTTCCTAATGACAAAAGAGGCTCCAGAAGAACAAGAACATGAAACTTGGAAAACTTAAGATTTGAGTTCATTTTTATTTATTTATTTTCTTGAGACAGAGCCTTAAGCTGTCGCCCTGGGTAGAGTGCCATGGTATCACAGCTCACAGCAACCTCAAACTCTTCGGCTTAAGTGATTCTCTTGCCTCGGCCTCCCAAGTAGCTGGGACTACAGGCTTCTGCCACAACATTCAGATATTTTTTGGTTGAAGTTGTCATTTTCATTTGGCAGGCCCAGGCTAGATTTGAACCCACCAGCTCTGGTGTATGTGGCTGGCGCCTTCGCTGCTTGAGCTACAGGTGCCAAGCCCATTTTTATTTCTTATATCTTTCTAAAGCAGAGGTTCTCATACTATGGCCTGTGAGTCAAATCTTTTTTTGTAAACTAAGTATTACTGGGACACACATATGCTCATTTATTTATGTAGTATCTATAGCTGTTTTTGTGCTACAACAGCAGAGTTAGTAATTGTGACAGAGAACATATAGCCCATAAAGCCTCAAAATGTATTATCTGGCCCTTTACAGAGGTGGTAAGGCATTAAGGGACTAGGAGACCTCAATTCATCATAGTTGACCTGAGAGGGGCAGGAGAAGAAACAAACTAGCATGATAAACATTTTGAGGCACAGGAGAGAGACAAGACAGTGATATCTGTCTCAACTCTCTTAGAATTTTATTTTCAAGTCACATGGGTAATACAGGATTTGAGTTCTTATAATTTTTCCAATGACAGGTGGAAGAAATTTTTAAGAGTAACATTAATGACATAAAATGTATTTTAAACTGCTTGCTCTGAGTCAGCAGAAAAAATCTAATCTAATTCTTCACACAACGACTGTATTTTAAAACATTTCAAATTAAAAATTATCTAGACCAGGGGTCCTCAAACTTTTTAAACAGGGGCCCAGTTTACTGTCCCTCAGACTGTTGGAGGGCCGGACTGTGGGCCCTGGGATGAGTCGGCTGCTAAGTAGGACAGGCAGCAGTGGCAAAAACACCCGGCGAGCCGGATACATGTCCTAGGCATGCATGTGGCCTGTGGGCCATAGTTTGAGGACACCTGATCTAGACATTCACTTACCTGAACAATTGAATGTACACCAACTGTCTGCATAGCTTGGCTTTCATCATCTGAGGTAATAGCAACAAAACTAAACCCCCGAAAAAGCTGATGTGCATTAGCACTAGGTGGAATGCCAGGTGAATCTGAAAAAAATAAGAAATTACTTTGAAAGGTAATTAAGGAATAATTGTTGACATTACAACCTTTCTCCCTTATTCTGGAATTGTACTTCTCAGGTCCTCAGTATATACCTCTTGCTATCTAGGATACTTTAGTAAGTCACTATATCAGATCTGTCCTGACCACTTATTGCCACCACAACTCTAAGATCCTAGTCCTTCAGAGCCTAGAAAATAGCTAAATCATTTGAATACTATAATAAGTTCATGAATTACTGGGTTAATGATATTTGAAATTAGCACTGTCCCACAGAACTTGGAATTAGGAGAATTTTCTTTACGTGTGCTAGTATGACAACCCTAGCCACACACAACTACTGAGCACTTGAAATGTGCCTACTGTGACTAAGAAACTAAATCTTTAATTTTAAATTAATTTAAATGTAATTAGTCACATGTGGCTATATGATATAGTACAGCCCTAAGTCATAACCTGGCAATATTATGCCTCCTACTTCAGAGATACAAAGTTGATCTACAGCAAATTCAGGAGATTTGAGAATAATAGAGTTACCCCAGAAAAGGTTTTCTGATTGAACAAGTAAAAACATATATTTATTGTACTATATATTTGGACTTTCACATTTTCTCCTTACCTTTGGGAGTTTTTGCAGTAAACTCAGGATCAAAATAGAATGTATCCTCAGGCCTGCCAGTTGCAGGTTTAAAAGGTGGATGAATTTCTCTTCTATACAATTTCTGGAGGCAAAAAAAAAAAAAAAAAAAAAAGACTTAGACAAGGGCTAATTATAAAAATACATATCAAGCACATTTTCATTTTATACTTACATTCCAGTCTATTGTTGAGAAAAATGAATGTCTTTTAATTTCTTCAACTCCATCTGGTCCTGCACCTATTAACAATTGATAGTAACTTTATTCAAGGGAAATGTATATACTATTTAGTCTTTGCTTTTAATACTTGTCAGAATATTTAATAATCCAGCCTCAAAAACAAATATCTACCCTCCCAAACACCAACAAACACATAAAATAAATAAATTAATTTTTTTACCTAGTCTGTTTGCAGGATTTCGTTTGAAAAGCATTCGTAAAAGACTCTGGGCTTCAGGACTCAAAAACTGTGGCATCCCAAGTTTGGCTCTGTGTAATAAATCCACATAATATTTTAATTTTTTGGCGGCATCTGTACTTTTAACTTATTTTTAAGTTAAATTTTTTATTTTGAGATACTTGTAGATTCACATTCAGTTAATTGTAAGGTGTTCTACAGAAAGATCCCCTGTGCCATTTACCCAGTTTCCCCCAATGGTAACACCTTACAAACCTATAGTATAATATCACAACAAGGATACTGACATTGAGACAATCTACTGATCTTATTTAGATGGCTCCTGTTTTCCTTGCACTTATCTGTGTGTGTTTAGTTTAATGCCATTTTATCACATGTAGGGGCTCCTGTATGGATGTGCCATAGTCTGCTTATCCATATTAATCTGTTGAGAACATCTGGATTGTGTCCAATTTTAGGCTATTATGAACAAAGCTACTATAAACATTCATGTATAGTTTTTATGTGAACATACAATTGAATTTTAGTCCATAATCTTCTAATGAACGTCTTCTGGCTCTATTACTAAGAACTTTGTGACCTTGGGAAAGTCAATCCTTTTGCGTCTGTTATCACTTTTTCATAAGCAAGGAGATTGGCTCTCAACCTATAACCTTGGAACCCTTTTTCAAAGGGAATTTAACAAACCTGACATTTAAAACTGTTAAGAAAACATGTGGTTCATTTGCCACTTTCTCCTTCCTATTCCATTTAACACCTGCTACAGGGAAGGGGAACTGGTGGGAAAGAGGTTTGTGGGATATCAAGGACTCCATGCCATACAGTATGAAAACCACTGGCCTAGGTGGGCTGGAAGGTCTGTTTCAGCTCTAATATATAATTCTATTCTTTTTCCAAACCTAGAAATTAAAGAAACTAATGATCCCATAAGTTTGAAAATAATAATGGAGTTGAAGAAAGGGCTAGCAGAGAAATTCCTATTTCAGAAATAGATCCAATAGTGAGTTGTTACTGAACTCCTATGCGCCACATACTGTTGAGTGCTGAGGATACAGAGATAAAGATAGCTTACCATGGTCAGTGGGGAAGATGGACATAGATAACCCCAGTACAGTAGGAGACAAATTCAGAAGGATATATGCAAAGAGTGCTAAAAGAACAGTAGGAAATACATAATTTAACATGAAATTGTGAAAGACCTTAAAATGTTATCTAAAAGGCTAAATTATTTGGCCAGTGCTCCTTCAAATTTTACTGAATAACATTAATCCCTCTAGGTACTTAGTAACAATAAAAATATTTCATGGTTCAATGAGTGCTATCTATCTTGTTGGAAAAATAGAATAAAAATACTGCATAAAAACGGCTGAGAAATCTAGAGTAAAGAAGTCAGTATTTTCTAAACATTTGTTTCTAGCACCTCTTTTCAGAGAATGCCTATTAATATTCTGTACATTGAAGATTCTATTGACCAAAACTGGGGAAACAACGCTATATTAAATAATAGGGATGTAGCACAGGTCTTCAAACCGTAGACTAACAATACCAGATTTATTTTCAAGAAGGTTCAAGGGTAGTAGAATAATAGTAACAGAAATTCACCATTTTTGAATTCCTTACAGAATATCAAGTAATGACTATCAATGGATGAAACAATTAGATGAAAGCTTGACAGGGAACTGTATAATGAAGGAATCGGGCGACCACTGAAAATTACCACTTAAAGTAGGGGCAACAAGGTATTGTAAGCCTCCTGGTATAATGTATTAGGGAATGCACAGTACAAGGTACAAAATAATCTTGCCAAAAAAAGAACAGGGGAGCAAGTTAATAACACAAGGAGAATAAAAAAGTTTCCAAACTCCAGAAAAAGATTGTTATGTAACTATGGTAACAAGAGAACCACCAGAATTGGTTTTAAATCCATTCAACTAGTCAATGACAACTTGCCTGGTGAACACAATTGCAAACCAACCAATCAGTAACTGCTATTTGTCTCTGAAAATTAGCCAAACAGGAATGGACTCACTCTAATGAACAAATGTGAGGGTTAAACGATCAACAACAGTCCTGCCCAAATAATCACATTCTTACAGAAGATGTCAACCTCACTTATGGACCTGAAAATCTGCCACTTCTCAAACTCTACCCTTTCCCAAAATCCTGCACAAGATCAGTGGTCTACTCTGTTTAGACTATTGAATCTGCATTGTTTTCCTTTGCTGTGGTAAGCAAAAAAATCAGCTTTATGCTCCTTCCCTCCAGATACTAAGAGGTGGTCTCGCCTTTTGACTAGATAGCAGAATTCTAGACCACAAATGACTTGTTTTCTATGAGTAAATAGTAGGGGAAAAACAGAGGTAGACTATTCTAGATTAATAGAAGCTTAAGAAACACAACCAAGTGGAGTATGTAGACTTGATTTGGATCCATCTGTAAAGACATAGTTTGGAGACAATCTGAAAAATTTGGTTAAGGATTGGCATTAGATGATACCTAAACATTATTAGTTTTGTTAGATGTGGTTATGTAAGAAAATATCCATATTTTTAGACGTAGGTGAGAAATGATATGTCTGGAATGCTTAAGATATTTCAGTAAAGAAGAAAAAACAATAGAAGAACAGACAAAAAAATGGCAAAATCTTGATAACTGTTAAATTTGGGTGGTGGGGACATGTATTCATTATCTTATTTTATTTCTGAGAATTTACATTTGAAAATCTTATGAAAAAAATAGTTATGAAATTTTAGTTATGAAAAAAAGAAAAAGAGACCAAAAGGGAAATGGTTAGAGAGGCAAAGTAGATGAGAGTATGAAAAAACTAAGGGGAGAAGGAGTACCCAACAATGTCAAATATTCTCAGAGGTTTTCCTTAACTGTCCCATCTAAAATGGCTCCTTCCCTCACCCCTTCTCTCATACATTAAAGGGTCACTATTAGAATAGAGTACCTTGGTTTATTACCCCTGTAGTTCCTGTTACTATCTGAAATTATATTTGTTTAAATAGTGCTCATCTTCTCCACTAGAACGTAACCTCTGTGAGACCACTGAAGATCTAAGTTTTGTTTACACTGTATCCCAAGTACACAGAGCAAAAATTCGATCATCTGTTAAATGAATCATGTTAATGCTACTGGTTTTAGCAACCTGAAGACTATAGATAAGCATAGTGAGAGCCATTTCAGTAGAGTGATGGGGATGAATAACAAATAGGCTGTGCAATAAAAGAAGCCAAAAAAGTAGTAACAGAAAGCATAGACTACTCTTTAAAGAGGCTTTGTGTTGAAAGGATGCAGGAAGATGGTGGAGTAGTGGCTTGAAAGGAAGGCCAGGTCAAAGAAAGGGTTTTTTTTTTTTCTTTTTTTAAATGACACCAATGTTTGTTAGCTTAAAGGAAGAGACCAAAGCAGATTGAGCAATAAAGTTTCAGCAATGAAAGCTCAGTGAACATTCGTTTATGTAGCACATATTTTTAAATCTTTATTGTGTAGAATAACATAAAATACCAAAAAAAAAAAGCCCCAAACAAAAAGAAAACACTCAAAGTACATAGCTCAATGATTCTCCACAAAGTGAATAGTCATCTAGCCAAGAAATATAACATTGTCAGAACTCCTCATTCAATGTAACCACTTTCCTTATTTTGCCTCAAGCTTTTACCGTCTAAATATGGACGCTAAAAAATTATGTTTTAGTTTTGCTTGCTTTGTAAACTTTATAAAAGAATCATAGAGTATTTATTTATTCTTTTGTGTCTTGAACTTCCTTTCCTCAACATTCTTGTGAGATTTACCCAAGTAAAGCATATAACTGTGGTTTGTTCATTTTCTCTGCTGCATGGCATACTACACCCATGAGCCAAAGGCCTCAGCCTGTTTTTGTATAGCTCTTGCATTAAGAACTGTTTTACATTCTTACAGGACTGGAAATAATACAAAGAAGATTATTTGACAGAGACTGTGTGTGGCCACCAAAGCCTAAAATATTTATAGATAGTAAACGCAATTAACTTGTATTTGACTGTATGAATATAGCATCATTCACTAATCCATTCTGTTAATGATAACAGTTTCCACTTTTTGGCCATTACAAACAATGCTGCTGTGGACAACTTTGACTTGTTTCTTAATGTGCAAGTACCTACATTCTTATATATTGGGTCTATGCCTAAAAGTGGGATAAACAGATGAGGATATACACATATTTGTCTTCAGAAGATAATGACAAAACAAAAAAATATGAAAAGTGGGGCAGCGCCTGTGGCTCAAAGGAGTAGGGCGCAGCCCCATATGCCGGAGGTGGCAGGTTCAAACCCAGCCCTGGCCAAAAACTGCAAAAAAAAAAAAAAAAATGAAAAGTGAAAGAAGTGAAAGGAAGATAATGATAAAAACTGCTTTCCAAAGTGTGGTTATATGAGTATTTATATTCCTTCCAGCAATGTATGAAAGTTGCCACCTTTCCACATATCACCAACTTTTTTTATTGTTAGTCTTCTAATTTTAGCCATTCTGGTGGGTATGCAGTGCTAGCTCATTGTGGTTTTAATTTGTATTTTCTGATTAATGAGGTTGAACATCTTTTCATAAGTTTTTTCACCATTGAATATCCTTTTTGTGAAATCCTCCATTCTCTCACCCATGTTTTTATTGGGCTAACATTTTGTAATAGATTGTATGAATTTCTTGATACAGTAGAGGTAATTTTTATGTATGATGGAGGTAGTCATTGTTTTATTTATTCCTATATGAATATTCAACTTTTCAAGCATATTTTAGTTATTCATTCATTTATGTTTGAGACAGAGTCTCATTTTGTCACCCTCTGTAGAGTGCCATGGCATCACAGCTCACAACAACCTCAAACTTGTGGGCTCAAGTGATCCTCTTGCCCCAGCCTCCCAAGTAGCTGGGACTACAGGCTCCTACCACAATGCTCGGCTATTTTTTTTTTTTTGTGGAGACAGAGTGTCACTCTTGCTGAGGCTGGTCTCAAACTCCTGAGTTCAAACAATCCACTCACCTTAGCCTCCGAGAGTGCTACGTTTATAGGTGTGAGTTGCTGCACCCAGCTAAGCATGATTTATTAGGAGGAGGTTTATCTTTTCCTACTGCTCTGCAATTCCTAACAGTTACAAATTAAGCATCCATGTATGTATAGGTCTGTTTCTGGGCTATCTGTTCTACTGCACAGGTTTATTTTCCATGCTTATTTCAGGGCCAAATTATCCTAATTACAATTGTGATAAGATTTGATACCTAGTAAAGCAAAGTCTTCCAATCTTATTCTTCTTCAAGAGAGTTTTAGCTCTTCTTGGTCCTTTGTATTATATTAGGATCAGTTTATCAAGTTCCACACAAAAAAGTTGTCAGAATTTTTATTTGATTTGCATTGAAACTAGTTTTACCATCCACTGTGGCAGCCATTAACTACATATGGCTACTCCAAATTGTTAAGTGTAAAATACACAGTGAATTTCAAATGAGTATGAGAAAAATTTATAATATCTCATCAGTCATTTTTTTTTTTTTTTGAGACAGAGCCTCAAGCTGTACCCCTGGGCAGAGTGCCATGGCATCACAGCTCACAGCAACGTCCAACTCCTGGGCTCAAGCGAGTCTCCTGCCTCCGCCTCCCAAGTAGCTGGGACCACAGGCGCCCGCCACAACGCCTGGCCATCTCCTGGTTGCAGCCGTCATTGTTGTTTGGCGGGTCCGGGCTGGGGATTCGAACCCGCCACCCTAGGTGTACGTGGTTGGCGCCTTAGCCGGTTGAGCCATAGGCACAGAGCCTCATCAGTCATGTTTTAACATTGGTTACATGTTGAAATAACATCTTGGATAAACTGGGTTAAATAAAGCATTACAACTTGGCTGGGTGTGATGGCTCACACCTGTAATCAAAGCACTTTGGGAGGCTGAGATGGGAAGATCATTTGAGCTCAGGAGTTCAAGTCCAGCCTAAGCAAGAGCTAGACTCCATCTCTACTAAAAATAGAAAAATTAGGGAGGTACGGTGGTGCTCCTTGTAATCCCAGCTGCTCAGAGGCTGTGGCAGGATGATCTCTTGAACCCCATAGTTGGAGGTTACAGTGAGGTATCATGAGGCCACCGCACTCTTATCTGGGGACAGAGCAGGACTCAGTCTCCAAAACCAACCAACCAACCAACCAACCAACTTCATTACAATTAACTTTAATTGTTTCTTTTTACATTTTTAATGTAGTTACTAGAAGGTAAAATTATATATATGGCTCACATTGTATTTCTATTGGATAACACTGATCTATAGAGCCAACATCTTTACAACACTGGGTCTGTATTAACATGAACATGGTATATCCTTCTAAGTTGTTTTGGTCTTTTAAAATTTTCTTTAAACAAAATTTTCTAGTTTTCTGCATAGAGGACTTGCATAACTTCTGCTCAATTTATCCTTAGGTGTTTAATAATTTTTTATACTACTGTAAATAATATCCTCTTTTAAAATTCTATTTTCTGTTGTTCATATACATACAGACATGAAGTAGATTGTTGCTGTTGACCTTGTATCCAGCAACTTTGCTAAACTCTTATTAATTCCAGGAATTTATATAATGACTAGATTCTCTATGGACATAGTAATGTTGTCTAAATAATAACAGTTTTATTTCTTCTTTTTAAATCTTATACTTTACCTTTTTTGCTTGCCTTACCATACTAGCTAGAACCTCCAGAACAACATGGACAGAAGTGGAATAATGGGCATTCTTGTTATATTTCAAATCTTAAAGGTAAAGCTTTCAGTAGTTCACCACTAACATGAAAATAATATGAGTACTCTAAGTCTAGGTAGTTTGTTTATATTAAAACCATGTAATATTGATGAATTTCTTAGTTATTACTTATACTATAGCCGATACTCTAAAATCTCCTTTTTAGTTTGAGGAATGAATTTTAAAATCTCATCAAAACATCTACATTAGGGAGTACTTACTTAAGAATCATAGTCATTGTTTCTTTTCGATCTTTTCCTTGGAAAGGTAGCGTGCCAGTGAGCATTTCAAACTACAGAAAGGCAAAATAATCAGCAATATTAGCCAGTAAGTATCAAAGTCTCAAGGCAAGAAGATTTAAAGAAGTACCATCTTAATGAAAACCAAATCTTTATATTTTATTTTTTTAAATTTTGGATTAATATAAGAGTACATATGATTAAGTTAAATTGAAGTTTTTCTTTTTTTTTTTTAGGAAAAGTCTGAGTTGCATTTGAGTACTTCACCCAAGAGGTGTGCCATATACCCCTACATTGTATCCATTAGGTGGGAGCTTACTGAGTTCCTTCTCCTCCCATTTCTACTCCTGTTCTTTTTTTTTTGAGACAGAGTCTCACTATGTGGCCCTCAGTAGAGTGCCATGGTGTCACAGCTCACAGCAACCTCAAACTCTTGGGCTTAAGTGATTCTTCTGCCTTAGCCTCCTGAGCAGCTGAGACTACAGCGCCCACGACAATGCCTGGCTATTTTTTTTTGTTGCAGTTGTCATTGTTGTCCAGCAGGCTCTGCCGAGCTTGAACCCGCCAGCTTCACTGTATGTGGCCGGCGCCTTACTCACTGACCTACAGGCACTGAGCCCCCTCCCCTGTTCTTGAATTTAATTGTGTAAAACCAAATCTTATAAAATTGCTACATAATAAACCAAGTGATTCATATTTCTACCATATTCATTATAGAACTTCTTGACATTTACTAAGTGAGCTATATAGTTCTTTTGCAGAAGTTAGTCACATTTTATATGGCATTTTATAGTATACATGTATGAACAATCTGACAGACTTCCAATTATTCATAAGAACTTATTTTGTAGGGTTACTTACTAATAGATTTCTGGACCAGGTTCTCCCCAAAAGTAAACATCATTGATGCTTTAGATTATCATTATTAGCTGAAAGTCAATGGCAATATATTTTTGCCTTTTCATATTAGAATGAGATAGAAGCAACTCATGGATTCCATAGTCCTTCTATACTGCATGCAATAATTCTTCTTGGTTATTTATTACATATAGTGTAAAATATAGAAAATAAATATATCAGCTTCTCTCTTACAACACTTACTTCTGATTCTCATTTAACAAACAAAACAATCTCTTTCTCCCCGAAATCCCCCAAATCCAAATCTTACCATCAGTACACCAAAAGACCACCAGTCAGCACTCTGAGTATGACCTCGACGATTAACTACTTCTGGAGCCATGTATTCCACAGTTCCACAAAAAGAATATGCCTTCTTTTCATGGTCAATAGACTCTTTACTTAGGCCAAAATCTACCAAAATAAATATTGATTTCATAAATATTCTATAATAATTTTGTATATGTAAATTTTAAAGTCAGAGTTCCAACATTTATGCTAATTATTAAAAATTTTGATCCAAGTTTTTAACACATTATATTACTTAATACTTGTATCGTAATCAACTTTAGATGATGAAATAATATAGAGTAGGAGAGAATAGCTTAAAATGAGGATCTTTACCTGTTAACTTGATGTGACCTTCTTCATCAAGAAGTATGCTGAAAGAATATAAAGTCAGAAAATCTTTTTAAAAATCACTCAATAGAGATTTATAGAAGCTAAAACTGAAATTACTTCCTTAGGCATTAGATTATTACACATTTATTCTAAAATATTGCTTTAGGTTGTGAATAAGGCGGCAAGGGTAAAGGAGAAAAATTATTTTTTTGATATACATTTATAACAAATCCCAAAGGCAATGCCATGAACTTGTATTAATGAGACATGAGAGCTTTAAAACCATTAGGAAAAGAATAAAATAACCTACACTCTTCTAAGCTGCTCTTTCTAATGCCTTTCTGCAGAGGTGGCCTGACTAAACCCCCTGGAGCTTGCACAATAGACAGAGAGAGGGTCCACATACTCAAGCCAAAATCATTAGATTTGTCATTCTTTTGGTCATTTTAAAAAAGTATCTGACTCAATAAGATTCCTTCCCAAATTTTTCTGTGATATGACCTACACAATCCTCTTCTCTTCAACACACTACCTTCCTTGCACTTCTTGTTTTTCACTGACCCATCCCTTCACTGCATACATTCTGCAGTGTTTTTCTAAGTAAACTGTGAGCCCCCTAGAAGGTTTGCTCTTATTCATCTTTATAGCTCAGTGTCTGGTAGAGCATAGAACAAATAAGAAATATTTGTTGAATGAATAAGGCCAGATGGCAAAGGGCCTATAAGGCATTCCAAATAGTTTAGGCATCTTCTCAAGGACAAAGGAGACCATGAAAGGTAAACATGCATGGAAGGTAGAGGTAATCGGATCTGCAACTTTAGAAAACAACATAGAAAATAAAGGGCATTCAGTGAGCTCATTGGATCATGATAAGGAACACCTGGAAAATGACACTCAGGTTTTTGGCTTGAGCAGGTACTAGAGTAGAAAATAATCCCATTTAAGGATCTATAGAAAAGAGTGAGTACTAAGCTGTAGGCCAGCATCTGTATTTCTGCATAGGTTTTTAGTATACTCACTTGAAAGGCCAATAAACTGCTTCACTTATATTTAAAGCTATCCCACAACACAGGCATTTTCTTACTTTTAATTGTAACTCAAATATGTGCAAGTCAAAATTTGTTATAAGAAAATTTTACTATAACAAAAATATTACCAACCTTTGTACTTCATCAATTCATATATAATTACAACAAAGTTTATCACTGAGAGTACTGCAGTAGAGGCATATTTTTCAAGTAATAATAAGGTACTTGTTATGAAACAAATATTAATCTTGATGCTTGATTATGAAGCAGACCAACATATTTAGAGAATACGTAGCATAATGGGCATTGTTAGGTATAGTGGGAATCACCTTCCCTTCTGTCTAATAAATACAGGAAAGACAGTTCTAAAAGCAAAACAAACCTCAAGTCATTCTTGGCAGTTTTGAAAGGAAAAAAGAAAATACAGTAGAACTTCCACAGTTGACCACTTCCGTACACCGACCTCCTTAAGTTGACCTAATTTTTGTAGACCAGACATGCACGTATCAGTACAGCAGGCCTAGTTCCTTATGTTGACCACCTCTGTATGTTGATTAGTTTGTTACAGTTCCTTGGGTGGTCAGCTTACAAAGGTTCTACTGTGTAGGTTAGTGGTTCTCAACCTTCCTAATGCCACGACCATTTAATACAGTTTCTCATGTTGTAGTGACCCCCAACTATAAAATTATTTTCATTGCTACTTCATAACTGTAATTTTGCTACTGTTATGAATTGTAATGTAAATATCTGATATGCAGGAGACCCCCAAGGGGTCATGACCCACAGGTTGAGAACCATTGGTATAGATAAAAGGGCATTACTTATACCTTCTACAGCATATGTATTCTTTAAAGATAACCATGCCCATACTTTGTTTCTGAAAGAAAAATTCAACTGTATCAACTCTCAATAAAGTTACTTTTCAATAATTCATAATTATTTTAAGTCATATTTATTATAACAGAGTTCTAGCTAAAAGGATCTGTAAAACTCCTAACAGTTCATAAAACATTTGGCCTACAATTTAAATTTCTGTGTGATGGTGTTCACTTGGATCATTTACCAATTAAATATTAGTTCAATTTAATAGTATCATTTAGTTTTAGACACCTATGTGATCTGTAAGTAATCTTACCTACATTTGATCTTATTCAAGCCTTGAGACAGGCCCCATGCTTTATATGTACAGGACCAATGCTAACACAATAATCTAAAATAAATATATTCAATTACATGACATTAAACAGTAACACTTATTTTTCTCTTATGAATGTTTAATTTATGTTTATAGTAATTTTTTCTTCTAAGGACTATATGCTTGAATATTTATTCTCACCAGGAATTGTATTTTGTGTCATACTAGTTAAAAGTTTGGAAAATAATGAGGAAAATATGGGGAATAAAAGCCAAAACATATGACTTATCCAAAAACCAAAATGTATGAAAAACAAACACAAAACATAAAAGTATGGCAATTTCCAAATGCTCACTTTAGAGTTTTAGAGAATTTCCTCTATTTCCTGTCTCAATATATAAATTTTGCACTTAACATTTTAAAATAATATTCAGCATTCTTGATAGGATAATGGCTGTATAGCTGTGCAAGGATAATAAAAACCAATGAAATGTATACTTTAAATGGATTATTTTGTATTGTATGTGAATTACAACTCAAGAGAGCTGTTTATTTTTTATGGTATTTATTGATTTATTTAATTTTGAGACAGAGTCTCACTATGTCACCCTCAGTAGAGTGCCATGGCGTCACAGCTCACAGCAACCTCAAGCTCTTGGGCTTAAGTGACTCCCTTGCCTCAGCCTCCCCAAGTAGCTGGGACTACAGGCACCAGCAAGAACACCCGGCTATTTTCCTTTGTTGCAGTTGTCATTGTTGTTTGGCAGGCCTGGACCAGGTTCGAACCCGCCAACCCTGGTGTATGTGGCTGGCACCCTAGCCGCTGAGCTACAGGAACTAAGCCAACAGAGCTGTTTAAAAATAGTCCTGATACAGTAAGGCTCTTGCTTATATTCTTTAAAAAAAAAGAAAACCCTCTCCTACTCAGTAGCAGAGAAACACTGACAAATTAAAACAAATAAATATGTACAATTTAAATAATAACAGCTTCTTGAAGAAGATTGATTTTATAAAAGCTGTGGCAAATTTGCTCAACTCACACTTAAAATTTCAAAATATATGGAGAAAAAAATTTTCAATAAATGATATTTGGGGGAAAGGTTAGCTCTAAACCATCATTCATATAAAAAAAATCTAAATGGAGTTAAAAATAAAAAATAGAAGCCATAAAATTAAAAGAAAAATATCAGACCCATGGGATTGACAAAGCCTTTTAAGAATTAAAGTAATGGAAGAAACCATAAAAGAAAAAAGACTGACAGCTCTGAGGAAATAAATGTGTAGGTTAATGCTAACCAGTTTGATGAAAATACTTCAAATTGTATATAAAACCAGCACACTGTACCCCATGACTACATTAATATACACAGCTATGATTTAATAAAAATTAAAAAAAAAGTATACAGGAGATGTGGGAAGGTTATATACAAAAAATAAATAAATAAAAGTTAAAATTAAAAGACTTGAAAATGATATTTGTAATATATGTCAAATGGTTAAAATTCTTAATTTTTAAAGTTCTCTTATAAATTAATGAGAAAAAAATAACATTTTAAAAGGAAAATGGACCAGGTATAGTAGCTCACGTCTATAATCTTGGCACTTTGGGAGGGGGAGGTAGGAGACTCACTTGAGGCCAGTTCAAGACCAGCCTGAAAGGCATGACAAGACTCAACTCTACAAAAAATCCCAGAAAAATTAGCTGGGCATGGTGGTGTGTGCCAGTAATCCTAGCTACTTGGGAGGCTGAGGTGGGAAGATTGCTTGAGCTCAGGAGTCTGAGGTTATAGTGAACTATGATGATACCACTACACTCAACCCTGGGCAACAGACCAAGACTCTGTTTCAAAAAAATAAAATAAAAAATAAATGAAAAATGACCAAAAGCCATGAACAGAAAATTGACACAAAAATACAAATTACCAATAGATTTCAATCTTATTAAAGTTAAAGGGTTCAGATGAAAACAATATAATATTTACTGGTTAACTGAGATTTAAAAAGCATGAAAATACATAGTGTTAGCTGAGATGTGTAGCACAAGCCCTCTGATGTAATGCTGTGGGAGTTTTATGAAGTCACCTTATTTTTTATAACCTACTAAATAATTAATTATATTATACTGTATTCAACTTAGTAGCATGATTCCTTACTTTTCTGGTTTTAAGTCTCTATAGATTATTCCCAGGCTATGTAGATGATCTAAAGCAAGCGCAAGTTCAGCCAAGTAGAATTTGACATCTTCCTCTGTGAACATCACCTAAAATAAAAGAATAATTTTTCTCTCTTAATTTTGTCTGTGTTCTTTATAAATATTCAAAAAATTTATAAATATGTTAACTATACATAGCTATATCTACAATTTGGTCATGAAAGAATTTGCAAATTATCAAAACAGACAACCAATCACTTACTAAATACTAACTATGTGCTGTGGGAGAAATAATTTTACATTTTGTTAAGTAACAACTATATTCGTGTTATGCCACTATTGTCCCAGCACAGTAACATTTTAGAAATGAAAAATTATCTTTAAAAATGCATGCTGCTGATGAAAGTATTTCAAATTGTACGTAAAACCAGCACATTGTACCCCATGATTGCATCAACGTACACAGCTATGATTTAATAAAAAAAATGCATGCTGACATTCCCCTACTAATTGTTTAATGATACTTTGTTGATATATTATTCCTCCTGAAAAAAACTATAAAAGAAGCAGCATTTAAGATAAAGATAGTTTATTTGTCAATTTAAAGTCCTGCTTTCAGAATAAATTCAAAACATTGAAGAGAACTCTTTTTGGCTTGGATTCTTCACCGTAAGAATCTTATGTCACTAGAGAAAATGCAATAAATATAATACTGAGCTATAACAATGCTTTAGTTGAAACAGGATGCATATAAATAGATTAAAAATAGAGATTAATCATATACCTCTTTGGATAAGCGTGTAAACAAATCTCCTCCCCTGAGAAAATCCAAAATAAGATACAACTTCCCTTCAGTTTGAAAAGCTGAATGAAGAAATGAAAATTTCCATTTAATTCACTGTAATTTATTTTGTTTAGGTTTATATTAGGTCATTTACAAATGAATATTTTTAGCAAATTAATGATTATTTACTACCTCTAAACTTACTTTAACTCAGAAGAAAACCCTGATTTCCCTTAGTTTCCATGTGGAAATGTTAAATGCAGTATTTCTTATTATGAAACGACTAGATTTTCTACAGGAATACAGTAGTTCTAAGCATGTGATCCGTAAGAAAAACTCACAACAGAAAAAAGACCCACTTAACCATAAAACAAAAACCAAGCCACTAGTTACAGAAAAAAATGTGGGTTGGTTTGATTTAGTTACACATAATAAGAATTGCCACACTTTTACCCACTGAGAAAAAGCACATGGCTTTGGGAAAAAGAATGGTGAGAACAGTTTTAGGACCCTCACATTAGGGATCTTTTTTACCTTTAGGTTGGGCTAATACACATAGACTATAAAATGCTGGCACATTATTATTAATTATTATAATTAAAAACAATGATTATCCTTACTTGTTCCTATGGTTACTACTCAGAAACTAACTTTATAATGTTTAAAAGAAACATAAAGTAAATGCAATAAAAGTTTCTAAAGTTTGTCTAAGAAGTAATAATGGTTTAATTTCTAGACTTGCTAAACACATAAAAATTTATATTTCTATACAGTAGTATAGCTAAATGCACTCAGGGAATGGGGGGGGTGAGGTGGGAGGTGGTTCACAACTTACCATAATGCAACTTGACAATAAAAGGATGATTAACTTCTACCAAGATATCACGTTCCATTTTTGTCCGAACACGGTCTCGAACTATAAAAGAATGCGCATATGCTACATTGCAATATCTTTCAAAGATAATCTTTAAAACATATTGTTTTTATGCCTATATTAAATAAAACTTTGCTTATGTCCATAAAAATGTGAACTTCTAATTTATTGCTTTTTCATTTATAAAATTAAAAAAAATCTTTTATTACATTATATAACCAAAAGAAGTCATACATATTTATACAAACCATGTTTTAAAGGTGAAAAAATTACAGAGAACACATTAGGTATTGGGTTTAACATGTATAAGCAGTTTAATTATAGTTTTGAAAAATGGCAAAAAAAAGCATGTGATTTTTAAGAAAACAAAGCATCCTAATTAAATAGTAAAAACAAAAAAGAGACTAGGTTTCAACATCTCTACCAGCCCTATCAACTCAATTCAATGAACATTCATTAAACATCCATCCATACAAATGTGGCAGAAGTGGTGAGGAATGGATATGCCCAAATAGGCCTATTTCAAGGGAGGGAGGAAATATAAGGGAGAAAGAAGAGATACTGTATATAGCTAAAAAAGCAAAGGTTTTGCAGTTATATCTGAATTCAGATCTGTGTAAATCTTTTTTTTTTTTTTTTTGAGACAGAGCCTCAAGCTGTCCCCTTGAGTAGAGTGCTGTGGCATCACAGCTCACAGCAACCTCCAACTCCTGGGCTCAAGTGAGTCTTCTGCCTCAGCCTCCCAAGTAGTTGGAACCACAGGTGCCTGCCACAATACCCAGGTATTTTTTGGTTGCAGCTGTCATTGTTTTGGCGGGTAGGGCTGGATTCAAACCCGCCACCTTAGATGTATGTGGCTGGCGCCTTAGCCACTGGAGCCACAGGCACTGAGCCCAGATCTGTGTAAATCTTGAGCAAGATAATTATTTAAACTCTCTGAGCCTCAATTATCTCTCAGTTATACAATGGGGATAACAACACTGTACCTTCGAGAAGTGTGTAATCACGTGAGATAAGGTATGTACACTCAGAGCTTGGTATGTGAGAGATATTTGATTGAATGGTAGCTATCATTTTATTCTATCCAAAAGTAGCACCATGAACATGATAACAAATAAAACAATTTATTACCAGCAATGAGTAGTACAGGAATTCAAAGAAGAGCAACATGGGTTTTACTTGCATAGGAAAGCTAGAGCAAAGAGGTGGGGTTAGGGCACAAGCTTTGACTTTTCAAGCGGAATTTAGATGGGTGGGAAGGCTAGGGTCTAGAAGAGAAGAGTCCAGGCATGGAGTACCAGTGCAATCAAAAACACAGAGGCATTAACAATGAATAGAAAGGAACCAAATCAGTGTGGAAACAGAGTTCTGCTACTGATGAGGTGATGTAGAGAGGATCCAGATTCTTGACAAGTTGGGATGCTAGGATGAATTTTTATTTGACCCTGTTGGCAAAACTCTTTCAGCAACCAAACATTTCCTGAGCCAAGTCTATATGCGAGGCACTAGGGATACAAATACAAATAAAATCATCTTTAAGAAGCTTGTAATCTAGTGGAAATGACAGATAAGTAAATAAATCATTAGAACACATTCTGGGAAATACTCTGAATGGTATGTATCAAAGATTAAAATTAAAAAAATGGGGTGTAACCACAGCACTTTGGAAGGCTGAGGCAGGAGGATGGCTTGAGGTCAGGAGTTTAAGACGAGCCTGGGCAATAAAGTGAGACACCCCCCCCCACATTTAAAAAAAAAAAAGAGAAAGAATGGGAAACAGAATCTTTTTGAGGTGGTGGGGACAGGAAGAAGGTTGAGTTGGTTTCATTTTCAATTTAAGGTGACCACAGATATTTAAAATTAAGCAGCTAAAAAATATCCTGTTTTTGCCATTCTACTGGTTTTCCATCCCTAAATGGGAAACAGTGCCACTGACTGCAAATGGGCAAATCAATTGTTCTTGATGTCTATACAGCTGTCTTAACTGACTTAACTAGCTAGTCTATCAAACTCAGTATCAGTGTCTGACTTCATTATCTTGTCCTATCACTACAACTCCTTATAACATCTGATAAGTCCTTTCTATTTTTTATGGGAATGAAATTCATCACCAAGGCCTGTTGATAATTCTGTTCCAGTCTAGCCTACATTTGTCTTTTTTCTACTGTTATCCATACAATTTTGGATTAGTTTCTATTAACCTCAAAGCTGGATTCCAAATTTCTACCTTTCAAAAGTACAAAGCTTACCATTTAAAAATCACTCCTGTGTTCAGTAAGCAGCAAAAATATCCACCAATATGTTTATTATATATTTTTCTTCTATTATTCTATCACACTGAAAAGAACAATTATTTGGGAATTAAGAACTATAGTTTAGAGGCTATACTAATTAAATAGATAAGATACTTTAGTGAAATCATTTCATTGCTCAGGGACTTCCTATTTCCTCCTGTACAAAACGAGGGGCTAGAATAAGAGGATTTTCTTTTGTTTATGATTATCCTGTAAGATCGTTTTCTTTCCAACATTTCCTTATACATAACACTCACTGATGAGACTTTGTTTAGCTGATGATAAGCACCAAGAGTCTCCCACTAAAGAATTTCTTCATTTTGTTGGAGGTGGAACTTGTATAATAATTCTAATTCTGGTTTCTTTTGCTAGTCACTAGGTCAAGACCTAGTGACAAGTATAAACCATTTTACAATTAGAATTTTGATCAATATACACTAGTTTGGAAGGAAGCATGTTTTATATTGGCCAACTTGTAAACCCTAAAATAGAATTTGTTAATACTGACTTATGCTGGCAAAGCAACTAGGTTCCTCTGAAGTAATTTTTTTAATATAATACTTACTAGATTTAAACCCTCCTTTGAACAAAAGAGTGAACAAGAAGAAATGCTGTTTATGTTTCTAGGACTATGTATTAACAGTTTTAAGCAGTGGTTTACAAAGCCTTTTAGGACAATAGACCACTTTAATAGGACAGAAGTCCCCATTAATTTGACCAAATGCCATTGACTTCTATCTGACCCAATTTATTGCATTAATAGGAATTTTAAAATAGAAAGAGGCTTCTGATTAAACATGGATGTTTTACTCACTACTTTCTTCCAAACCCCCACTGAAATGACAATAATGAAAAAATTATGCATAAACTCACAAACCCAGGAAGCGACAGGAGAAGAAGCAATAGCACAAGATGAGTAAGTGGTATCTAACAAAGAAGACTAAAGAAAGCTAAAATCTAAGCTGAATGAAAGGAGCCAGTGAGAAATAAGCAAATTCTTGCCTTGGAACCGCCTCCAATCGGCTTTTTAGTGCCTCATTATTAAAGCAGAAAAAGATAGCGAAGGATCCCCAGGAACTTGTGTTTGGAAAGTGAAAACATAAAAATAAACAGAAAAAAAGAAGGAATAAAGGGAAACAAAGTGAGAAAGAGAAGAAAAAACAATAAAACAAAATTCAACTTTGTAATTTATATCTATTGTGAGAGCAAAGATGATATGATACCCATGAAACAAGAACAAGCAGCTTTACAAAGGGTGGGGCAGAAGGAATATGTATCCTCAGTAAACAAACTACAAGGAAAGGACAAGAAGTAGAGACAGAGCTCATAGATAAAAAGACTTAAAGAGATATCAACCAATTGCAAACTATAGACCTTATATGTATGGATCTTGATTTAAACATATTACATAAAGAAAACTGAATTATAATAGTAGGGACAAGCAGAAATCTAAACACTGAGTAGATATCTGTATGTTAATTTTTTAGGCATAATATCAGAGTTGTATTATTTCTTTAAGGAGTCTTTACCTTTTAAAGATCTATACTAAATATGTATGTAAGATATTATGAAATATCTGGGATTTGCTTCAAAATATCAAGAGGGGAAGGAGGAGAATATAGATTTAAAAAGTCAGTAGAGGCTGGGCATTGTAGCTCATGCCTGTAGTCCCAGCAATTTGGAATGCCAAAGCAGGAAGATCACCTGAGCCCAGGAGTTTAAGAACAAACTGGGCAACATCATAAGGCAAGAACAAACTGGGCAACATCGTTTCTACAGAAAAAAATTTTTAAGTCAGCTGGGCATGGTAGCACATGTCCGTAGTCCCAGCTACTCAGGAAGCTAAGGCAGGAGGACTGCATGAGCCCAGGAGTTTGAGGTTGCAGTGAGCTATGAAGATAGCTGATGAAAGTTATCAGAAAACAGAAAAAAAAAAAAAAGACAAAAAGGGAAAATAGAAGGGGTATAAAGAAAGAGGAGGCCCAACATATTCCAAAGAATAGCAGTTACAAAATGAATGAATGATATAAAAATTTCCCAAAACTGAAACATATTTCTAGGTGGAAAGAGACCACCTCATATCTGATATGATGAAAAATTTAAAAAACCCATTATACAGGCTTGGAGCTTGTAGCTCAGCGGCCAGGGCACCAGCCACTTACACTGGGGCTGGCAGGTTCGAACCTGGTCTGGGCCTGCTAAACAATAACAACAACAAAAAATAGCTGGGTGTTATGGCAGGCACCTGTAGTCCCAGCTACATGGGAGGCTGAGGCAAGATAACTGCTTAAGCCCAAGAGTTTGAGGTTGCTGTGAGCTGTGATGCCATGGCGCACTCTACCGAGGGTGACATAGTGAGACCCTGTCTCCAAAAACAAAACAAAATAAAACAAAACAAACCCAGTATACAAATTTCAGAACACTAGTAGATTCTAAGGACTTCCAAAGAAGAAAAGCAGCTTATCCACAAAGGACTGAGTATCAGGATAGCAATAAACTTCATCACTGCATCATAAGAAACTAAAAGACAATGGAGGTAATGCCTTCACATATCTGAGGAAAAATTGTTGGTGAACTAGAATTTTATACCTACCCAAATTACAAATTAAGTGACATGCGGGGTCACAAAAAATTCACCATCCATTAACCCTTTCTGAGGCAGCTACTATATGATGTGTTCTACCAAAACTAGAAAGTAAACTGAGAAAAAGATAAATATCAAATTTAGAGAAAGAGATCAGAGTAAAG